CCACTCAACAAAATACCTAAATTATTGGGACTGCTTAAAATGTTTAAATCTGTATTCCGTGCAGCGCAGGCAGGAGATGCATAATAATTTAGACTTAGAAAATACTAGAGGGGCTGGTTCCAAGTCTGAACGTCACAATAACTCCAAATAAGACAAGGAGGCATTGCAAGAGTGTAAAATAACCCCGTTGAAAAGCCGAGGTGCAAAATGAATGCTGAAAGAGAACTCTTTCAACATCAAGGCCCCAAGACTTTACAGCACTCTCCTTATACACATAAGGGGCACAGCTGCCCGATTTCTCACGGTGATCACAATACATATTCATCAAAACAAAGGCACCAAGCCGGGATACGGTGTTCAAAAGAGAACTTGATAATCACCTCTAAAAGATACCTGATCAACCGGACTGCGATTCAGACGTCATGCTGCTAGCAACTGCGTCTAACAGCCTGGTTGACCAGACAACGAACCAGGCTTATCAGGGACCGGACCGCGGGGACATTGATCCTCGGAACAACGCAAGGTAACCGCAAGGTTACAATTTGATTAACATAAGATACACAAAACTACTATGAATTGTCGGATTACACGGTAGGTAAGGTCAAGGTAGGTAAGGTAGGTACACTCCAGCATAGGCTAAAGCAGTGGTGCCATTAAGGGTAACAAAATCCAACTTTACTAAGTTACGAAAATAAAATCCACGATAACATGTGAAATAGAAATAAGTGAGAGCAGTGATGGTAATCTTCTTATCAATATCACAGGCCCACGACTCGTCAACAAGTCTCGAAATAGTAAACAGTATTATAGTAAATACTATAACGATAGTAAATCCTAAGTAACTTACACACCATATGTTTTTGAAGAAATGGAAATACTTGACAGATTATACGTAAAACACGTAAGTTACACGTAAGTTACGTTAGGTTTTCTGGCAGAGTGAGTACAGCTGCTATCCTAAAACTTAACCACAGGACTCATCTTGCGGTTATCTTCTTGAGATGATTTCGGGGCTTTAGTGTCCCCGCGGCCCAGTCCTCGACCAGGCCTCCACCCCCAGGAAGCAGCCCGTGACAGCTGACTAACACCCAGGTACCTATTTTACTGCTAGGTAACAGGGGCATAGGGTGAAAGAAACTCTGCTCATTGTTTCTCGACGGCGCCTGGGATCGAACCCAGGACCACAGGATCACAAGTCCAGCGTGCTGTCCGCTCGACCGACCGGCTCCCTCATGGCCAAACATCAAACACGCGAGCATCAGAAATATTACAGGAACAACCGGGGACATCTTCAAGAGGAAACTAGATTATTTCCTTCAAGGAGTGCCGGACCAACCGGGCTGTGGTGGGTATGTGGGCCTGCGGGCAGCTCCAAGCAACAGCCTGGTGGACCAAACTCTCACAAGTCAAGCCTGGCCTCGGGCCGGGCTTGGGGAGTAGAAGAACTCCCAGAACCCCATCAACCAGGTAAACATGGCGACGGAACGTCTGGCGTATTACGAATACAATACCAACATCAGCCCTCTGCAAAGCTTGGCGCTTCCGTCCTCACAGTAAAGGTATCATAGGCTATTTGTACGCTACAGAGACAACCAAATAGATTTAATGATTTTACGGAAAAAAAAACCGCCTTTATGGACTAGGCTAATGACAATCTGCATCGATTGGAGAGGTGAATTGCTGCAGGTTCGTACGTTTTGAAAGCACACACACATAGTACGCTTGTCACATCCCCAGACCATGAATATTAAGCGACGACAATTCTTAGTCCAGAAACGGGTAAATATATACAGTACAACATTTTTATATATCATAACACATGTCATTTCTACGATTGTATTCGAAGGCTATTGTCGTAGACAACAATTCTTAGTCCAGAAACGGGTAAATATATACATTTTATATATCATAACACATGTCATTTCTACGATTAGTATTGTATTTGAAGGCTATTGTCGTAGACGACAATTCTTAGTCCAGAAACGGGTAAATATATACAACATTTTTATATATCATAACACGTCATTTCTACGATTGTATTCGTAGGCTAGCATACAGATATAATTCATTCACAATTCCCTCCACATTGCCATGCTCGTTTCCTTTTGGGTCCTGTCATTGGTGGCCTTCAATTGCTACTCACCATTCAAAGCATCCTCGAGGCAAGATGAAGTAGCTGTCGAGCATAGGCTATCTAGTTGCTCGATATAACTTGATTAAAGTGAATACAAAGGCATTAACGATATCTTTGTCTGTATTTATTCATGTATTGTGCATCCTATACCCATTTTGTGGACGGTAGTGGACCCTATACCCATGCTCTGGACGGTAGAGGACACTATACCCATCTTATGGACCCCATACCCATCCTATGGATGGTAGAGGACCCCATACCCATCCTGTGGACGGTAGTGGACCCCCATACCCATCCTGTGGACGGTAGAGGACCCCATACCCATCCTGTGGATGGTAGTGGACCCCCATACCCATCCTGTGGACGGTAGAGGACCCCATACCCATCCTATAGGCGAAAGTGGAAAAAGTTAGGGGTATATAATGCACTAAAGAAATGAACCTCAAAGATCATTTACGCGGCGAAGTTACAATCTTGACGACCTAGTTACATAGTTAAATTTATACATCAATAGTCTTATGGCACAAGTGGTTCAAGAAACTCGTTCAAGAAAACTCAAGTTCAAGAAAATGATTGAAAGAAAATCAACAAATCCCAAGTTACATCTTGAGATGTCAAGATCACGCCTCGTTAAACCCAAGGCGGTTACAGCCGTTACTTCCAGGAGTGATCTATGTCCTCGACACCCAACCAATGATCCTGGGTTCGATCCCCTAGACGGGACAGAAACAGTTGGGCACGTTTCCTTTCACCTGATGCTTCTTTCCCACCTTAGTAGCAAATAGGTATCTGAGAAGAAGACAATTGTTGTGGGTTGTATCGTGGGACCGCGACAAGCCATAGGCATCCTGTCCCGGACAACGCGAGTTAGATTAAGATTCAGGAGAAAGCGCTAAGCCATTAAATATGAAGACAAGTATTCTAGAATAAGGAAGGGGAAGGGAAGTTTCAGGAGAAAGCGCCAAGCCATCACGACTATATAGCACTGGGAAGGGGTCAGGATAAGGATTTGGGATGGGATGGGGGGGGGAGGAATGGTTCCCAACCACTTAGACGGTAGGGGATTGAACGCCGACCTGAATGAAGCGAGACCGTCGCTCTACCGTCCAGCCCAGATTGATAGATGAAGATTAAGCCACCCAAAAGGTGGCACGGGCATGAATAGCCCGTAAGTGGTGGCCCTTTTGAGCCATTACCAGTATAAATAGATGATACTGGAGATCTGTGGAGGTGCGACTGCACCCTGCGTGACGGGAGATGTCTCCCATCCGTCCAGCCCAAGTGGTTGGACTCTAGAATAAGGAACGGAAGACCAACCACTTGGAGCATCGGGAATCGAACGCCACCTTGCATGAAGCGAGGCTTCCCTGTACCGTCCAATCCAATATTGGTTGCATAACGCGAATTATGTACATTAATCTCTGAATCTTTTGCACAAAGGCAGCACCCACACTAGACAGGACGGACGCGGTCCGTTCTCTCACTGACGGAAAAAAAAAACATGTTTTTCCTAACCAGGAACTTACGAAGCAAAGAAAATGTATTTTCAATATGTATTAATACATCGCAGTAAACATTGCGACGCATTAAGTGAGGACGGGTTGGAGGCCGGTAGCAGATACAGAATACTGTACAGTATATATGTTTGGTAACTTTTTGTTCAATTATAATGAATAACTTCTTGCTAACCACATATTATTACTTTATTGAGGCTTCTTTATTTACGTATTACACTCCAAAAATACTGTTTTAGCTGGTGTTCAAGAATACAACTTTTCTATGATTTCTTATAAACTGAAATCATTTTTTTTGTCTGGACAGAATATCAGTTTCAAATTTAGGCTACATCAGGAAAGATTCCATACCGTGAACAGGCACAGATGCCCCAAGATGCTATACCTATACCTATACCTATGGGAATTATACCCATTTGCCCATTATACCCATTTATATACATACCCATATATTTATACCCATTTGCCCCCCATTCTTGTCCAGGGCCAACAGCACTTTAAGAGATAATACAACATACTACATACCCATATTTCTTCCCTTTCCCTGACAAGCATGAAGGAACGGGGGTTATTCAACCTACCACCTGCATCCGCCCCCTTCCACCACCAATATTATAACAGGATACAAGTTACCACTTCCTTCCCACCTCCATCCTGTGGGTGCTAGTGGAAAAGGATGGTGGCACATAAAGAGCTTAAAACTGAACCCCTAAATTCATTTCGCTAAAGCAGTTTATTTCAACTTTCAAATGTGTGTGTGTGTGTGTGTGTGTGTGTGTGTGTGTGTGTGTGTGTGTGTGTGTGTGTGTGTGTGTGTGTGTGTGTGTGTGTGTGTGTGTGTGTGTGTACTCACCTATTTCACCTATTTGTGCTTGCGGGGGTTGAGCTTTGGCTCTTTGGTCCCGCCTCTCAACAGATCAATCAACTGATGTACAGGTTCCTGAGCCTAATGGGCTCAGGAACTGAGCCCATTACAAGAAATGGGCTTGTGTGTGTATGTGTGAAGGCTTCCTTACAGTAAACTTAAGACATTCACAAAAAAAGCAAACTTGCACCCCCCACTGATGCCAAGTAGGTTAATGGGTTAAATAGTAATCTCCCTATTGCTACGTTCCTCCCTTGTTGAACCAACCCCCATTAACTACCCATTTTGCCTACGGATTAAAGATATATTTGCCTACGAAGGGTTGTTGTAGACCTGTACGATCACAACCACAACTTCTTGTAGAGGGTGAAGGTTGACACGTGATCACATGTAATGAGGTTGTTAAAGATTCGTTACTTGGAACCAAAAGTTGCAAGTAGCACGGACTATGGTGATCCCGTAGTTGAACCTGGTAGTGTGGCCTCACCTGTTCAACACATGATGAAGTCTGCAGGCTTCTACGCTAGTTGACTTTTAACACCACACATGTGATACACTACACCACGGGCCTTTTCACTGCCAAGCTTTCACTTAGATTAACATCATTCTCGGTATTCCTTGTCGAGAGCAAGAGCGCTATTTAAGCACAAGAATCACCCAACTTTTCTATACACTTGAGAGAGATCCCTGTAAGACGGGAGAGCAGCGAGCGACGTACAGCCGCCTCCAACCGACAGACCATTACTGAATGGCGGAGCGGTTGTCGCGTGGTTTTATCTGCCAGCGATGTTGTGTTCCCCGGAGGGACGGCGCTCGACTCCCCTAGATCCCCACCTCCTGCCTCCCCTAGATCCCCACCTCCTGCCTCCCCTAGATCCCCACCTCCTGCCTCCCCTAGGTCCCCACCTTCCCTAGATCCCCACCTCCTGCCTCCCCTAGATCCCCACCTCCTGCCTCCCCTAGGTCCCCACCTTCCCTAGATCCCCACCTCCTGCCTCCCCTACGTCCCCACCTCCTGCCTCCCCTAGATCCCCACCTCCTGCCTCCCCTAGATCCCCACCTCCTGCCTCCCCTAGGTCCCCACCTCCTGCCTCCCCTAGATCCCCACCTCCCCTAGATCCCCACCTCCTGCCTCCCCTAGATCCCCACCTCCTGCCTCCCCTAGATCCCCACCTCCTGCCTCCCCTAGATCCCCACCTCCTGCCTCCCCTAGATCCCCACCTCCTGCCTCCCCTAGATCCCCACCTCCTGTCTCCCCTAGATCCCCACCTCCCCTAGATCCCCACCTCCTGCCTCCCCTAGATCCCCACCTCCTGCCTCCCCTAGATCCCCACCTCCTGCCTCCCCTAGATCCCCACCTCCTGCCTCCCCTAGATCCCCACCTCCTGTCTCCCCTAGATCCCCACCTCCCCTAGATCCCCACCTCCTGCCTCCCCTAGATCCCCACCTCCCCTAGATCCCCACCTCCTGCCTCCCCTAGATCCCCACCTTCTGCCTCCCCTAGATCCCCACCTCCTGCCTCCCCTAGATCCCCACCTCCTGTCTCCCCTAGATCCCCACCTCCTGCCTCCCCTAGATCCCCACCTCCTGCCTCCCCTAGATCCCCACCTCCTGCCTCCCCTAGATCCCCACCTCCTGCCTCCTCTAGATCCCCACCTCCTGCCTCCCCTAGATCCCCACCTCCTGCCTCCCCTAGATCCCCACCTCCCCTAGATCCCCACCTCCTGCCTCCCCTAGATCCCCACCTCCTGCCTCCCCTAGATCCCCACCTCCTGCCTCCCCTAGATCCCCACCTCCTGCCTCCCCTAGATCCCCACCTGTCTCCCCTAGATCCCCACCTCCCCTAGATCCCCACCTCCTGCCTCCCCTAGATCCCCACCTCCCCTAGATCCCCACCTCCTGCCTCCCCTAGATCCCCACCTTCTGCCTCCCCTAGATCCCCACCTCCTGCCTCCCCTAGATCCCCACCTCCTGTCTCCCCTAGATCCCCACCTCCTGCCTCCCCTAGATCCCCACCTCCTGCCTCCCCTAGATCCCCACCTCCTGCCTCCCCTAGATCCCCACCTCCTGCCTCCTCTAGATCCCCACCTCCTGCCTCCCCTAGATCCCCACCTCCTGCCTCCTCTAGATCCCCACCTCCTGCCTCCCCTAGATCCCCACCTCCTGCCTCCCCTAGATCCCCACCTCCTGCCTCCCCTAGATCCCCACCTCCTGCCTCCTCTATATCCCCACCTCCTGCCTCCCCTAGATCCCCACCTCCTGCCTCCCCTAGATCCCCACCTCCTGCCTCCCCTAGATCCCCACCTCCAGTCTCCCCACCTTCTCTAGGCTCCCCACCTCCAGCCTCCCCACTTTCTCTAGGCTCCCCACCTTCTCTAGGCTCCCCACCTTCTCTAGGCTCCCCACCTTCTCTAGGCTCCCCCCCCCCCTGCCTCCCCACCTTCTCTAGGCTCCCCACCTCCAGCCTCCCCACCACCACCAGCCTCCCCACCACCACCCCACCACCACTTAGAGGCAAGAGACCATTGCTTACAACAATGGTTGTCTGATATTGAATGAATGTTGTTCACCATTGTTGTTGTGGCTCACTTGTCAAGGCTTTCTCCTCTCCCTGTATACAAATTCCTGCCTTTAACCGCACATATAATGTTTAGAACTGGACGATGGGTTATGTATTTATAGCTCTTAAATATGTACTTAAAATCTTGACGATCATACTGTTCACTTTTAAACTGGATATATATAATATAATCTAGATAGATTCAAGTGTTTAAGGGAACGAAAAATGATTAAGGGTAGTTGGTAGATTGGGAGTTGTCGTACATCTGGCGTGCGAGCGGTGGTCAGCCAATCAGGATGGAGGGCGCGGTGGGTGTGCGTGCGTGCGTGCGCCGTTTACCAAAACAATAACACTCCTTCTAAGTCAGTTCTTATCATGACATTGTTCATATAAATAATTACCCTCATATAAAGCTTATTCAGATATTATAATTATATTGAAAAATGTGTTATACGCACATTGTTAAGAAATTGATGGGTAGTGTAAGTTGTGGGAGTGTCGGCACCCTGCAGCCATGTGTCAAGAAGACACCTATGGCGCCCAGCGGCTGTATTCAAATTCAAAAATTCAAAATTCAAAATGTTTATTCAGGTAAAATTACATACATAGAAGATGAGTTACAAACATAATGTTAGATTTATAGATAGAGCTAGTACATACAATACCTAAAGCCACTAATACACACGGCGTTTCGGGCAAAAAGACTTAGACTAAAGCTTAATACTAAAGGAGATTAAAGTATAAATCGTATTGAAAACGGAAAAAGGGGGGGGGGGGGGAGAGGGAACATGGCAGAAATCAGCAATTATACAAGTTGGTCAACTAACAGTATTGTTTGAAAATAGCAAGACATGAGTTGACATTTAAGGGTAAGGTAGGTTACATAGAGTGTATTAGGTAGTACTTAGTTTTTCTCTTAATCTGGTTGAGAGAGGTACAGCCTTTGACATGATTGGGACTTGACATGATGAGGTACAGCCTTTGACATGATTGGGAAGGTCATTCCACATTCTGGGACCTTTGATATGTAGATCATTTCTAGTTTGGTTAAGGCGCACTCTTGGAATATCAAATAGGTATTTGTTTCTGGTGTGATGCCCATGGGGTCTGTTACAACCTTCTAGGAAGCTTTTAAGGTCAGGATTGGCATTACAGTTCAGAGTTTTAAATATATAGAGTAGACAAGAGAGGATATATAGTGACTTAATATCTAGCATGTTCAAAGATTTGAGTAGGGGTACCGAGTGATGTCTGGGGCCAGAGTTAGAGATTGTCCTAATACCATCTTTGTGTTGAGTAATTAGAGGACGTAAATGATTTTGGATAGTAGAACCCCAAGCACAAATACCATAGTTGAGATAAGGATAGATGAGGGAGTAATAGTCACCAGGGCAGGGCGAGGTACATAATATCTTAGAAAGAATGCCAACAGGGTTCACTTCTCAACGAGGCGACGCTCCTTACTAAAATGGTGGACCTTGGCCTTATCAATAGTTATCTGCCCCCTAATATGGAGAGATATGCGCATGTGCGATCATGCACTCAACCAAGTACCGTAATTATAGTGATTACTGCTGCGTTGAGAGCTCTGTATGTGACTGTTGTGATGGTGTGGGGGACTGGCCTATAGTGCATATAGTGTTGACCAGACCACACACTAGAAGGTGAAGGGACGACGACGTTTCGGTCCGTCCTGGACCATTCTCAAGTCGATTCTCAACATACTTCAGCCACGTTATTGTGACTCATCGCCTGCACGTGTATATAGTATTATATACTATATAGTGTATATAGTATTATAATACTATATAACAGTAATACTATATAGTGTATATAGTATTACTGGCGTATACTTTCACTATAGTTGTTCCTAATAATATTTACCCATTACTGCAGTGTTGCCGGAGCAGTACTTCTGACCACCATCCACTTGGGCTGGACGGTAGAGTGACGGTCTCGCTTCATGCAGGTCGGCGTTCAATGCCCGGCCGTCCAAGTGGTTGGGGCACCATTCCTTCCTCCAGTCCCATCCCAAATCCTTATTCTGACTAGGCTGGTTACAGCAACGGCCGTCTTCACACTAGGCTGGTTAAAGCAGCGGCCGTCCTCCCCAGACGCATTCATCAATGTTAACATACTGTGTATTAAAAATTGGTTTGTTCTTCATATATATATTAATATTATACATACAAGTTCTATGCATATATAGACATAGGTTAGGTCAGGTGTTTAGGTTCTGTTGGCGATTATTTGTATTTGTAGTACGTGGGTGAAGCATTTACAGCGTTGTGGTTCGAACAACAGTCGTCAGTGAAGCACTTGTTCCGGAAGTGTTCGAACGTCATCAGTTGTGAGTCGTGTGTAACAGCCCGTCCTCCCAATAAAGGTCCAATGACCATTGCATCCACCCGCCAAACCCCCAGGTGTTTATGAATGACAAACAGTTTACACACGACTCACAACTGCTGACGTCCGAACACTTCCGGAACAAGTGCTTCACTGACGACTGGTGTTCGAACCACAACGCTGTAAATGCTTCACCCACGTACTACAAATACAAATAATCGCCAACAGAACCTAAACACCTAACCTAACCTATGCCTATATATGCACAATATGCTATTATATTATAATGTTAATTTATACTTGAGAAAATCCCCGTTTTGAATGAACAGCATGTTAAAATTTATGAATGCGTCTGTGGGGTCGACCGCTGGATGGAATGGACTTGAGTCGAGGACGGGTTGCTCTCTAATACACAAGCATTTTTTGGGGGGTGTAAAGTACGTACAAACAAAAGCAATGTAACACTTTTCACTTGTAAGTGTTTAAGACTATCACATGACTGACAGATGTTACAAGTATACTATTATGGAGCAGATCCAAGTACACGACTCAAGTATCTCAGAAAGCAAAATTGTTGATCATAAACTATTGAAAGTTCACACTTTACGTGTTGAAAATGTGTAGAGTTTTATGTGTTGTTAATGTAGCTAGTGAAGCTGCTCTTGGAAACTTGTGTGATGAATGCTTCGCATGTAAAGTCAACTTGTTCAATGTTGTGTTTGCCACCAGACTAGTACCCGAACTGAGGGGTATGAGCTACGAGGAGAGACTACGGGAATTAAACCTCACGTCACTGTGAGACAGAAGAGTTAAAGGGGACATGATAACCACATACAA